CACAACTTCATTTTAAATTAACGCATAATGTTGTCTGATATCCTACTACAAAAAAACAAAGCATGCTTGTCTGAAGCCTCTTACTTAAAACCCTTGGAAATGTACAGTCCATACATAGGAATCAATCTCTTTTTTTTTTTTGCATGTACATTTTTTTTGTTGCCACCTTATTCATAAAGGTCTCTAGATTTCAATTTGAAATTCTGTATCTCTAGTTTAGTAAGAAAGATTACAATTAGGTAAATTTCTCAACATTTTTTTGGGGCCTCAAAGATGGCCTAGTAAGAAGATGGGTAGTATTTTGTTCAGCTTGAAAATTGTACCAGTCAGTAGGAACTGTAAAGGATTTTAGCAGGCCCTTGCCTGTCCTTGAGCAGATATAAATACCTGCATTCTCCAAAGCTGTTATTTTTTTTGTTTCAGTGGGGGGGGGGGGGGGGGGGGGGGGAGGTGCGGGGGGGGGTGGCTGTTTTGTGCTTTGTTTTTTTTGTTTTTTTTTTTTTGTTTTTTTTTTTGTTTTTTTTTTTAAAAAGGTTAGTTTCTACAAAAATTATTTACAAGCTTAGTACCTGAAAACCCACAGAACTGAATGACTGCTAATCACCTTTTCTTTATTGGACATCCCACTTGCCTTTTCCTCACATCCTTTCACCAGATCACCCATTTGGCTGCTGCTGAGCTGCCCAGCTTTGTCAGGTCCAGAGTAATAGCCAAGAGCAACCCTGACTTACAGGTGCATGTGTGATGAAGCCCGGTTCCACAATTAGCTGGCTCCAGCAGCAAAGCTTAAGGACTTCCCTTCTTCACTGGGCACATCTTCCTACCCTCCCACAGTGGTATGCTACCCCCAAACAAAATACCAACAAAACCAGTCATGGTGCTACACTATAAGCTGAATCAATATATTGGTACAGGATTCTTTTGTTTTGCCAAGGAAAGGTTACTTTTCCTAAACCTGAATCAACTCACCAACTGAGCTTATACTGCTGCCCAGCAAGCTGTTCCTCAAATCTCCATTTTGCTGAAACAGGTACCCAGGGCAAACCATTTCACATTGCTGCCAGAAGAGGAGGTCCCCCCTTCCCTCTGTACACCGGTACTTGCAAATATCTTAGTGCAGGCATTAGAGGCAGGAACAGTGAGCTAGATCAGGAAACTGATCCTACTGAAAAAATAAGAGCGTATATTGTGGGGAGGTTTCTGGGGAAACTGGATCAATTTTGTAATCTAGCTCGCTGCACAGTTGCACGATCGTGTTTGCTGGCACAAGGAAAGCTGGAGAGATAGCATGACAGGGCAGCATTGTCCCATTTCCATTGCAGCTGGTCTTGAGCCAGATTAAAGTGGCTGTGTAATCAGAACCTTGGTGATCATGCTGAGCACTTCTCAGGATCTAGAATCAAATATTCATACCTGATGCTTCAAAGTCATGGAATAAAAAAAAAATGATGAAAATGCAAACTACTTGGCAGTGCCTAAATAGTTTTCCTCAACATTTTGTTTTCCCACAGGGTGAGAAAAATCTATACCCATGATACAGCAGGAATTTTGAATGCCACCATCTGAAACTTAAAATTTCTGTAAAACACCTTGCTGAAACAGCAAAATGTCAGTCCACTACTACTTCAGAAATACACATTCTATCAGGTGGCACCGCTACCCAGTTCGACAATAAAAAAGCAGGAGAACATTTACTGCTTTTTAAATCAAATGAAATTACAGTTTCCAAGTTACCCAAAGTCAATTGTATGATGATTGACTGAGTTGCTGTGCCATCAACGCAATGGTTTGCAGTAACTTATGAAATCAAATTGTAGGTTTTAATGAGGGGAAAAAACCTACACATCTAAACAGTTTCCCCTGTGAATGCTACACAGCTGCTCATTTATTCAGTTAGCCTGCCATGAGCATCACTCTCTTCTCTGGTTATTTTTTTCCAAGCCTTTGTAATTTCAGTACCTCTAAGAGATTACAGATAAAAACAGGTAGCACTAAATATTTTCCAGAAAAAAAAAAAAAAACAAAAAACAAAAAACCAAAACCAAACAAAAAAAAACCACCAAACCCAAACAACAGAGAAATAAAGGCAGCACTGTTTTTGCGGCAAATATTTATCTTCATAATCCCGCATTTCCAAGGACCAAGCATTCTGTAGCGATATTTCCCAATTTCTAGCAACTGCCTGCATACTTATATCAAATGAGAACAGCTAGGTAATCTTGAAAATAGAGAAATAATCACTAAAATTAAAGACAGGTATGCCAGCATTGTGCAAGGACTGTGAACATCTGCGGAATATTAAAAAAAAAAAAAAGGCTCCAATTTGAATTAATTTAAGAATAGATTAAACAAAGCAGAAAAACAAATTAATGACTTGAAATACTGAAGGAGCACAACAGCAGCAAAACAACCAGCAAATACCCGTTAACTAAATTGCTCGTCTAAAAAGCTGGAAAACAAGCACAATCATTTTAAGAGATCAGATTTAAGGCTCATAAGAAACCAGAAAGGTTCAGAAGGAAAACATGCCATTAGATTTTTATAAGATTTGCAAGCATAATGGAATCAGTGCTTTCCAATTGACGCTGAGTGAAAAAGAAAGATCATCTTACTTTCAAGTCACATCCCAAGGAAGGTGAATCAAAAGAAACAGTACTTGTTTGTTTCTGATCCTAAAATTGATATAAGAGTTTAAACATGTATTTGACAAAGGCTACTATCAGCTAATGGAACAAGAAATCAAAAGAATCACTACACCATGCAGCTCTTCGTATTGGAAAGTTAAAGTGAGGTGCCTTTCCAGAACATATTTAGTCCTTACTGGGCTCAGTACAGTGATAAATGGGTGGGAATTGATGGCCTGTGATACTCAGCAGTCAAATTAGATAATGTATTGTCTGTTCTGGGTGCCAAAACAAATGAAAAAGCTATCGCTGTATGACTAATACCAGATAGAATGAAATCACTGTTCTTCACTGATAGTCATTCAAAATATTTGCAAATCTGATAGCACCTCAAAATATTCTTTTTAATTCTTTATACTTCCGATGTGCCAGAACAAACTGGCTTGAGACTACTCTCTTCTTCTTGCCTTTATTTCTTACCCTTTCCCAATATGCCCAAGTGGCAAACTCTAAAATACAGAGAGCCTTTGCCGTGCATGGCCCTTCAGGGATACAGGGCACTTGGAACAGCCTGTTCCTAATAATGCTGAGGGTTACAGCCATGCACCTGGAACCACCCAGAATCTGGAAGGCCCAGAGGTGGCATTATGCCACCTTTCATGTCCTGCCAGTAGACTGTGCCCTCCACCGGCACAACAATAATATTAAAAAATGGTTCTATTTACCAGGGGGGGAAACTAAGTATCTTCATTTATCTAAAAGCTGTTGTCTGTGGAAGCTAACCCAGTGTAACAATATCCAAATAACTGGTTAAAACCAGCTGAGACTGATTTGAAGTTAATCCAATACACCTTTGGTAAAAGCAACCAATGAAAGTAGTTGCTCTCACAGGTTCTGTGCTTTCTTCTCCATCTACTTATTTGGATTTCACATTTTATTTTTCCTTCTCTCTTGCTCTCCATTCCCATTGGACCCTTCCCCTGATTATCTTATTTCACCCTTGTTACTCTGTTTTACTAAGTTTCTGCTATTACTCCCCTGGACTGCTGTTTCCTAGAAGGAGACCGCCATTCTGGTTTGGTAACATTTTATATCTACCCAACATAGTATGAAACATCAGATTTTCAGGGCAGTGAGGAATCAAGACCCCTGTTTACAGCTGCCAAGTATTTTCTATTTGGCATATGATCATACTACACGAACGAGTTCGTACTGTATCAATCCATACAAATGGCAACTAATATTACAGAGGTTAAAAATTACACCAATAGCCTACAAAGCTATAGCTATACATATAGCATAGCAATTACATTCCAAGTGGGGAAATTAAGAGAAGGAACTATATGAATTCTGGGTTTATAGGTAATTCCCCATGTTCATCTACCCTCTGCTTTTCACCTGCAGCTCCTTTCTGAACAGAGGGTAAAGGCATACTTCTAGTTGTAGCACCAGTGTCCTGATGCCAAGCTAAAAATACAGTGCGTGCCATCGCACACTAAACTGGAAAACTAATCTAGATGGAAAAAAAAGATACCAGTAAAAACGCAGGTAGCATTTTCACAGTAATTTTTCAGCAGGATCGTTAGACGGTCTGCATCAATGCACCAGGGGAAGGGGTTGAATAAGACAACTTCTTAAGACAGCAAAAGCGTTTCACTGTATTACACCCCAAAAGAAGCTTGCATACAGGAGAATACCTGGATCCTTAGCGCAGTAGACAAGTAACAGGAAAAGATAAAGGTGAAAGCATAATCAAGTAAAATGAGAATACAGGCACTTCTGGGAAGATTCAAGTGGCAATTTGGTCTTGGCTTCTTTTCGCCATTTACAGTGTCATCATCGTATTAGTCAATGAAGCCGCTAGTGTCCCATCACAACTGCAACAGCAGGTGGCTGGGAGGAGAGGAAATGGCACCAGGCAGAAAACTCTGAGAAACTGGGGGGGTTTGTGTTCGGAGAGTCACATAACTCAAAAAGACGACCAAGCTTTCCTTTTCTCCACGCCATAAATAGAGTCCGCTGAGTACTAGAAGCCTCAAAATAGCGATATTTTAAAACACCAGAGAAAGCATTTTCCTTATCTTTCACAAGCGCCTCGACTCCGCCCCTCAAGGTGCGAGGGGAGGTAGGGGCTGTCCGTCCTGCGGGGCGGCCGCACGGCCCACGCCGCGGGCCTCCGCCGCCGGCGCCACCGGCGACCCCAGACCGGCGGCAGCTCCCACGGCCGCCTCGGGGGGGGCGGGGCGGGGCGGGAGGCGGCGAGGGGACGAGCACCTGCGGCCTCGGCGCGCGCCCCGCGCCGCAGCGGCCATTTTGCAGCCGGCGGCTCCGGCCACCTGCGCCCCGCCCGCTCCCGCGCCGCGCACGGACACTCACCGCGAGGAGGCCGGCGGGCTCCGCAGCGGCGGCGGCGCCGGAGGAGCCCTCCCCCGGGAATGCGGCCCCGCACAACGGGCGCGGCCGCCCCGGGCCCGCCGCGACCCCCGCCCGCCCCGCTGCGCTCCGCGGGGCCGGCGGCGCCTTCCCTCCGCCGCCTCACGGCATCGGTAACCACGGCAACCACTCCCCCCCCCCCGCCGCTCATTGGCGGGCTCTGCGCGGGGCGGCAGCCAATGGGACGCCGCCCTGCGCCGCGCCGGGCCAATGGGCGCGGGCGATGGGCAGGGCCCCCGCGCTGACGTCGCGCGCGGCGGGGCGGGGCGGAGCGCGGCCGGGCTCGGCGGCGCCGGCGCCACCATGGAGACCCCGGGCTCGGGCCCGCCGCGGCGCTGAGGGGGCGGCCGGGCGCGCCGCCTCCTGCCCCGGCGCGGTGAGTGGGACGGGGCCGGGGGGGACCGGGGAGCCGCCGCCACCACCCCCCCCCCCCGCGTGCCGGCGGAGCGCGGCGTAAGCCGCTCCGCGCCGCGCGGGCCCTGAGGGCGGGGGGCGCCGCCGCCCCGGCCCCTGCCCCGGTGCTCGGCGGCTGGAGGCCGGAGGAGTCTTCAGCGAGGGAGGCGGCCGGCCCCGCGGCAGCCGCGGCCGCCTCCTTCCCGGGCGCGCCGGCTTCCCGCGGGGCGGGCGGCGAATGCGCAGCCCGCGGCCGCGCCGAGGTGTGTGAGGCGGGAGCCGCGGCAGTCAGGGCCACCGCGCATCGCACCGCGTACCGCGTACCGCGCCCGCAGCGGCGGGCGGGCCCGCGCCCCCCGGGCAGGGTCAGCGGGCCGTGCGCGGGGGAGCCCGCGGCTCGGGCGCGCTGTGCCGCGCCGCGCCTGACCGCGGCCACGCGCCGTCCCGCGGCGCGTCCAGCCGGGGCTGCCCCGGGCCGGAGCCGGGCTCCCGCCGCCTCAGCGCGGCTCGGGCGGGGGGCGGGGGGGGGTTTAACCTTTGCGTGACCGCGAAACTTGGAGCTGCGAGCCATTACCCGCAGCGCTGGCGGAGGGGCCGCTGCCCCCGCGGCGGCAGCACGGCTACCGGAGCGAGGAACTTTCGGCGTTTGTTTGTTTTTTGGTTTTTTTTTTGGTTTTTTTTTTTTTCTCCCTCTCTGATCAAAAAGACCGAAAACAAGCAGGAGAGAAGTAGCACGATTTGAGCGCGTCTAGGGGAGCGCTGTGGCACACGTGGGCAGTTGCTAGCTGATGGATTTTGCCTGTACCTGAGGCGCTCTGCAGTGGTCTAACAAAGTGTGAGTGCACCCGGAGATGCAGATTGCTGAGTACAACTACCGTGGCTAAGGCTAGGACAGCTGGGAAATGAAGTCTCGGAAGAATAATGTTAATACTGACGCTGAACCCAGACTATTTCGGCAAAACATTGTATTTATGTGACTGTGGAGTTGTATGGAAGGTAGAACTATTAAATGCCGCAGAAAATCATCTTTTAGGAATTGAGCTTTCTCTGGTGCTTTTCCCCTCCCAGCCAGTGCTTCAGAATGCAGAAGAACTGTATGTTTCTGAAGTGCTTGTGTTTGGCCTGTAGACCTTTGTACTACTTTTTTTTTTTTAATAACCTTCTGCTCCGTGTTAATTTTACATTAGTCATTGCTTCAAGATTTGACTGTTTGAAGGAAAAGGCGTGGTTGGACTTGCAGTGGTAATGTGTCGTTAACTAGCTTTTTAGTTTTTTCAGCATTCCTATTTTTTTGTCTGCTTGGAGTTTAGAGATTAGAAGGCAAGGATGACAACGTTTTCCTCTTTAATAACTATTTTTGAGATAAATGCCAAATAATATGGGAGCCTACTAAATGTAGTTGTTTAGTTTATGGAGATACACTACTTTGGTCTTGTCCATTACGCTTAAAGTGGGAGGAGTGTGTTTTGGGGGGAAAAGCTTGTTGTTGGCACTGACGTGTTGTAGCGCCTCAGTTAAATATTACAATATTACATGCAAATGAATGTAACTTGTCTGTGAAAAGACAGATTGCACTTGTTTCCTCCTTTTGTTTCAGTTGCTTGTAAAGTGCTATCTTGCTGCTGGAATAAGTTTCTATTAATATTTTTAGTTAAGGTAGAACAGCTGATGGGCCTTTTCCAGTAAAAATTTTGTTGTTTTTTTACTTTCATCTTGTTAGAAGCTAAGGTTAAATAGCAGCTGGAGCAAATTTTGTGAGAGAGTAGTCTTCTAGAAGAGGGGAGAATTTGTTCTAATTTTTCTTAAAATGTCAATAATACACCTTTTGGTGCTTGCTTTTATAGTAGTAATGCAGGGATCCTTTTATAACCAACAGATGAATTCAGTCACAAAATGTAGACAAGGGAAGTACAGTGATATGTTACTTTTATATAGGAGCTTCATGTACTAGCGAAATAGCATCTTTAATGCATTTTGGGGTATTTTTTATATTCTATGATAGCATGTGGTATGTAAAAGTAATAGTAGTCTTAATTAGTAAGCTGTGTCAGGTGTTTAGTATAGGTAATCTGCATGCATTGTGAGGGAAGTCTCAGTGGAAGAAACAGCCTGTGTATTAACAAAACAGGAAACACAAGCAAGAACTTTGTGTACTTCTGCTTCACCTTATGTAGATTATTTAAATACATTTATAACAGATGAAAGGCTAAAGTGATTCTGAAAGATGGGACGCTGTGAGTAATGTCTTAATTTTGTTGTTTGTTTGGTTGTGTTTTTTTTTTTTCTTAATTGTGATGCTGAAAATGAGCAAGTTCTGCAAGCGTTTATCTGTTTGTTTACTTGGTGCAAGAAAGCACTGACCAGTTCATGGATCTTGCTGACCTTAACGAGGTTGCTATAAGTGTAATCAAGAATAACTGTGTTTATTACCAGAGCGTAGTTATTGTAATAAGGTGTAGAAAAGATCTCTCAAAAGCAAGCAGAATTCGTGGTAGTTGTCTGGAAAAAAATACCTATGAGCCTGTTACCAGACATAATTTGCATTGCTCTCATGTACTTTCTTATTATTTTCGATCAGATCAGTGTGTCTAGGTTAAAATCGGGTTCCCCTGTTGGAGAAGCTGCACTCCTTTCAGGCGCTGTACAGCCCAGTGCATCAGAGCAGGGGGGCTTTCCTGAACAATAGGGGGGGCTCTGGCTGGCGGCCGGGGCAGCCTGGCGGTGAGGGACCGGGGACACGACGTGTGGGGCAGCGGGTTGGGGCTGCCCTCCCGAGCGGGCTGCGGACCCCGGCTTGGGGCAGGGGCCTCCTCTGCCAGGGGCTGGTGGGAAACGACCTGGGAGAGTTGCTGCCAACAGAAAGCGTCTTGCCATCTTGTGTAGAAAGCACGTGTACGTCTCCCAAGTAACTCGTGTTGGTGTGATTCCAAATTCTGAAATTTTCAGTTTTTGCTGAGGTTTGTGTGGGGGTTTTTTCTCTAGTGAAAATAAGACAGCAAATCATTATGAATATGGCATGTACTGTCACTCCAAAAAGTAAACTGTACTGGTTCAAACTTTTCCTCCCTAATTAGTAAAAAAAAAAAAAAAAAAAATGGAGCTAGCATAGCTTTATGTGTAAGTGAACAGAAACCTGGACTTGAAGCTGGAATTTTGGGCATGACTTGTAAATAATGCATGCTGCTGTTCCTATCTTGATTGCAAATACTGCTGACAATAAGGCAGTTCAATACTGAGATGGAGAGTAAATACCTGAGAAGGGCTGATCACAGAACTGGAGCCCGTGAGAGAGCCTGTCTCGCTGCAGGCTGGGCTCGGCTCCTGCCGCGGCACCGCACTGGGCTGGGGGGGCTGCCAGGGCCAGGCCGTTCTCTGGGCATGCCCGCCAGCTTTTCTGATTCTCAGCTGCTTTTCTGAGGCCTGTGATATGTCCTAGTTCATCGGATAACTTTTCATGTTCTCTTTATCCAAATGGAATGCTCATCTATTCTGCTCGGGGGAGGTTTGCGGAGGGCGGGAGGAGGTGGATGAGGACAGCCAAAAGCTGCCGCTGGTGACGTCCCCAAAGTTTTTGCTTGCACAGATGAAAATCGCATCTTCTTGTCAGTTAAAATCTCTGCAGCTGGCACCGGTGTTCAGACCTTTACTTCTTTCCCTCTCTGCCCTTAGTACCTCACTTCTTCTCCTTCCAGGGTGGAGGAGGGACACATGCATCTCGGGAAGAAGGGAGGATTCCTTCAGTTTCACAGTAGATGATTTATGTTTAAATAATGAAATCCCCAACACTATCATTAAAAGAAAAGGCTTAAGGAGAAAGCTCTTTGGTGTCTCGCAGAGGTTTAACTGCTCTCTGAGCCACTAAAAGGCGGGAGGACATGCCCTTCCAGTCGGGCTGCACGCTGCGGGGAGCGGGCCTGTGGCACGGGGTCAGGGAGGTGACTCCAGCACAGGCTTGTCCTCCTCTTGGGTTCGGCTTCGTGAGTCAGCCCTGCACTTCCTCAAGAGCAGTGTCTGGCCTCGTGGCTGGGAGAGCCCAGCTCTCAACCAGCTCGCCCAGTTTGCTGCCTGCCCTCTGCCTCTGCCTTCCAGCTCGCCCAGTTTGCTGCCTGCCTCTGCCTCTGCCTTTCCTCCCCCTGAATCCAGCAGTGAGCAGTGAGTGCAGAGGCTTTGCTTAAAGTGATCTGTGAAGAATGTCTGTGGCTACCACTAACTTTCTAGTCCTTTTCATTGCATCCCACTCATACAGGCAAACAAAGACAACATCACTTTTTGGAAAAAAGTTAGGGAAAATCAGTTCAATGTTTTTAAATGAGATGCCTTTTTAACAGAAATTGTATAGAAAAAAAAGAAGTTAGGCATACTTTTAATATACAAGTGTTTTCCTCTTATTATTGCAATTTTAAGATATTGTGGTTACAAAAGAGGAAGAAGTTACTATTTTTCTCCAAAATGTCTCCATGGCCATGTCTTATAGATCTCTCCCAGCCCCCTCTTATTTAAATTTGCATAGCATTTTACAAAGTTCTTACTTACCACTAGAAATCAAAGATCAGTCAACTTCCTGTTTAATGGCTTTTAAGAATAATTTTAACTATGCTGTTATTTTAGTGGAGGAAAATAAAACTGTGACTTTTTACTTTATTTGAGAGTGATTGAACCTTTCTTCAAGGAATAATTAAAATTAAGACTTCTTTCCCCCCGTC